AACCTTCAAGGATGACACTTTTGTTGGGTCCTCCCTCTTCGGGGAAGACCACACTTTTGTTGGCTCTTGCCGGTAAACTCGACAAGTCTCTTGACGTCTCTGGGGAGGTAACCTATAATGGTTACCGCCTCAACGAGTTTGTTCCCATCAAAACCTCTGCTTACATTAGTCAGAACGATCTTCATGTTGGTATCATGACTGTTAAGGAGACTCTTGATTTCTCTGCTAGGTGTCAAGGCGTTGGTACCCGTTACGGTATAATCTTAGACTCTTAGTCAACTAAATCTTGATTTTTTTTGTTGGTCGCATTGAGTAATCTTACTTGTAACTGATGCAGATCTTTTGAATGAGTTGGCAAGAAGAGAAAAAGACGCTGGGATTTTCCCGGAAGCTGATGTTGATTTGTTCATGAAGGCCTCTGCTGCTCAAGGTGTCAAGAGTAGTCTCATCACTGATTATACTCTCAAAGTGAGCCCCTCTCAACCTTAAATACATAATTGTGTTGATTAAAATGAAACATGATAGTAGCTTAGTTACATACATAATCTTTTTTCTAGCTATTGTCCTAATTATGATTATTAACTTTAAAAGCTTCTTATGGAAAAAGTTTTATTATGAAACAGATTCTAGGGCTTGACATTTGCAAGGACACTATAGTAGGAGATGACATGATGAGAGGTATTTCAGGAGGTCAGAAGAAGCGTGTGACAACTGGGGAGATGATCGTTGGACCTACTAAGACTCTGTTCATGGATGAGATATCCACTGGGCTTGACAGCTCCACGACCTTCCAAATCGTGAAATGTTTGCAACAGATTGTTCACCTCACAGAAGCCACTGTGCTCATATCTCTTCTCCAGCCTGCTCCTGAGACGTTTGATCTATTCGATGACATAATCCTTTTGTCAGAGGGACAGATTGTGTACCAGGGACCTAGAGACCACATTCTAGAGTTCTTTGAGAGCTTTGGGTTCAAGTGCCCTGAAAGAAAAGGAACAGCTGATTTCTTGCAAGAGGTACATATATATAGACCTGTCTAGCTTGGTATTAATATTTTGATCCGAAAATTACTTACAAATTACATGTACGTGTGGAATAGGTTACCTCTAAGAAAGATCAAGAGCAGTATTGGGTTGATCCAAACAGACCATATAGATACATTCCAGTGTCGGAGTTTGCCAGCAGCTTCAAGACATTCCATGTGGGAAGTAAACTATCTAACGAGCTATCAGTACCATTCGACAAGTCTAAAAGCCACAAAGCAGCTCTAATGTTTGACAAATACTCAATCAAGAAAACAGAGCTTCTCAAAAGCTGTTGGGACAAAGAATGGATGCTCATGAAGCGAAACTCCTTCTTCTATGTCTTCAAAACCGTCCAAATCATCATCATAGCCGCAATTACGTCAACCCTTTACCTTAGAACTGAAATGCACACAAGGAACGAGATTGACGCCAACATCTACGTCGGATCACTGCTATTCGCAATGATTGTCAACATGTTTAATGGTCTTGCGGAGATGGCTATGACGATCCAGAGACTTCCCGTGTTCTACAAGCAAAGGGATCTTTTGTTTCATCCACCATGGACATACACGCTTCCCACTTTCTTGCTAGGGATTCCAATCTCCATCTTTGAGTCAACAGCATGGATGGTGGTGACATATTACTCCATAGGATATGCACCCGATGCGGGCCGGTTCTTCAAACAGTTCTTGATTATTTTCTTGATCCAACAAATGGCTGCTGGGATATTCAGGTTCATTGCATCTACATGTAGAACTATGACCATAGCCAATACCGGCGGTGTACTGGTTCTACTAGTCGTGTTCTTGACAGGAGGTTTCCTTCTTCCTAGAGGTGAGATTCCGGTTTGGTGGAGATGGGCTTATTGGGTATCCCCTCTTTCTTACGCTTTCAATGCCATCACCGTCAATGAATTGTTTGCTCCTAGATGGATGAATAAAATGGTAATTCTTCTTCTTCATTTTTCTCATCTCCCCAAGTCATCACCAGCCTACACTTGTAGCTTATGAATTTTTTTTTTGTTGGGTGAAAAAATGCAGTCTGCCAACAACGCAACGAGGTTGGGAACAAGTGTGCTTAATATTTGGGATGTATTTGATGATAAGAACTGGTACTGGATAGGAGTTGGAGGCTTGCTTGGTTTTACTGTCATCTTCAACGGCTTTTTTACATTGGCACTTACTTATCTAGACCGTAAGTTTCTTTTGTGTTTAATTTGATTCTGTTTTTGTTGTCACCGTAAGTTACTTATATATGTATCATGACAACAGCCCTTGGGAAGGCACAAGCTATACTTCCAAAAGAAGAAGACGAAAAGGCTAAACAATCAGGCCGCAAAGCTGGATCCAGTAAGTGTTTCTTTGTATAAGAATTTATATAACATATTAAGAACCTTAACTCTTTAATCTTACTAATATTGGAAAAACAGAGGAGACTGAGATGGAGAGTGTGAGTGCCAAGAAAGGGATGGTTCTTCCTTTCACTCCTCTAGCCATGTCATTTGACGATGTTAAATACTTTGTTGACATGCCTGCGGTAATCTTTTAAAACCTAGTTAAATTTTGTTTTATTATTATCATCAACAAAAAAACTCATATAAACTGTATGGTGCAGGAAATGAGGGAGCAAGGAGTTCAAGAAACCAGGCTGCAACTTCTAAAAGGAGTGACAAGCGCGTTTAGGCCAGGAGTGTTGACGGCGTTAATGGGGGTAAGTGGTGCGGGTAAGACAACTTTGATGGACGTTTTGGCCGGAAGAAAGACCGGTGGATACATAGAAGGAGATGTAAGAGTATCTGGATTCCCAAAGAAACAAGAGACATTTGCTAGAATCTCTGGTTACTGTGAACAAACAGACATTCACTCTCCACAAGTTACAGTAAGAGAATCACTTATCTTCTCTGCTTTCCTTCGCCTTGCTAAGGAAGTAAGCAAAGAGGATAAAATGATGTTTGTGGATCAAGTGATGGAATTAGTGGAGCTGGTGGATCTGAGAGATGCAATTGTTGGTTTACCGGGGGTCACGGGTCTTTCCACCGAACAGAGAAAGAGATTAACAATCGCGGTTGAGCTTGTGGCTAACCCTTCAATCATCTTCATGGACGAGCCAACTTCAGGGTTGGATGCTAGAGCAGCTGCGATTGTGATGAGAGCTGTGAGAAACACAGTGGACACAGGGAGAACTGTTGTGTGCACCATCCACCAACCGAGCATTGATATCTTTGAGGCGTTTGACGAACTACTACTAATGAAGAGAGGAGGACATGTGATCTACTCTGGTCCCTTAGGCCGAAACTCTCACAAGGTTGTTGAGTACTTTGAAGCCTTCCCTGGAGTGCCAAAGATTCCGGAAAAATACAACCCGGCCACTTGGATGCTGGAAGCCAGCTCCCTTGCGGCTGAGTTGAAGCTTGGAGTTGACTTTGCTGAGCTATATAAGGCTTCAGCCTTATGCCAGTAAGTGAACACAACAAAAAATATATAATTGCTAATGATGTGATGATGCCAATTCTAACTAAGTACTAACATATGAATTGTTCTGACACAGGCGGAACAAGGCGCTGGTGCAAGAACTAAGTGTGCCTCCCCAAGGCGCGACTGATCTCTACTTTGCGACACAGTTTTCACAGAACACATGGGGACAATTCAAATCATGTCTATGGAAGCAATGGTGGACTTACTGGAGATCTCCAGACTACAACCTTGTCCGGTTCATCTTCACATTAGCAACATCTCTCATGATCGGCTCTGTCTTCTGGCAAATCGGAGGTAAGAGATCAAACGTACAAGACCTGACAATGGTGATCGGAGCTATCTACGCAGCAGTTGTATTCGTTGGTATAAACAACTGCTCGACAGTACAACCAATGGTGGCAGTGGAACGGACAGTGTTCTACAGAGAAAAAGCAGCTGGGATGTATTCAGCTATACCTTATGCTATCTCCCAGGTGACTTGTGAGCTACCTTATGTCTTGATTCAGACGACATACTATTCTCTTATCATCTACTCTATGATTGGATTCGAGTGGAAAGCTTCCAAGTTCTTGTGGTTCATCTTCATCAATTACTTCTCCTTCCTCTACTGGACCTACTACGGCATGATGACAGTTTCCCTCACGCCTAACCAACAAGTTGCTTCTATCTTTGCATCAGCCTTTTATGGTATCTTTAACCTCTTCTCTGGATTTTTCATCCCTAGACCTAAAATTCCAAAGTGGTGGGTTTGGTATTATTGGATCTGCCCTGTTGCTTGGACCATATACGGTTTGATCACTTCTCAATACGGTGACGTTGAGACTCCCATTGCTCTCCTTGGTGGTGCACCTGGCCTCACTGTGAAACAATACATTAAAGATCAATACGGTTTTGAATCAGACTTCATGGGACCTGTCGCCGGAGTACTAGTTGGCTTCACTGTCTTCTTTGCCTTCATCTTCGCATTTTGCATCAAGACCCTCAACTTCCAGACTAGATAACCACTCTACACTCTGTTTTCTTGTGAAACATTTCTTGCAATAAAGATCTTTGCTTCCTTTTTTTTTTTTTTTTTCTCTTAAACTGAGTTTATTTTTGTTCTAATGTAAAAAATATTCATCAAGAAAAAACCTTTTTAGAAATAAAAGTTGCAACTCAAAACAGAGAAGAAGTGGGAGCTAATCTGAATGTTATGAAACTTGGGAATTGGCATAACTACATGTCACAGCTGTGTACTGCGTTATGAAAATATGGACATGAATTCTTTTTTTTTTTTTTTTTTTTTTGCCATCTGAGTATTATTGATATAAAAAACATGAATTCCTTGTATAGATTATTAATCGTCTTTACTTATTATTTTTCACATTATATTTTTTGATCTTACTACATTCAAAAACATAGAAGAAAAATTTTATTTTCAGAAAATTTGTTTTAAAATTAAATTTTATACATATAGTTAAACTTTTTAAAATAAGATTTTTGGTTTCTTAATGGCTTAGTGAAGTAAAAGCCTTTTAAAGCCCATAACAAGATTTTGGTTACTTCTTCTAAGGGTTTCGAGCGAAATTTCTGAGCAGCGGCGACGATGGGAGACACCGCCTTGGAGAAGACAGCCGAAGAGCTACGGCATGAGATCGATGAGCTTCACCGTCAACAGCGCGAGGTACTATCTCTACCACAATCTCATTCTCAGTTTACAAATCTCTGTTGATGGCGATGGTTTAATTGATTCTCTATCCTGATCAGATTACGGAGAGGCTTCGTGACCCTCGTGGACTCCGCCGTGGAGGCTTCTCAAGCGTCGTTCCTCGCAACCAAGGCCGTAGAGGCTTTCCTCGACCTGTAAGTTTTCTCTTCTCCTTTATTCTCTTTCTCTCCTTTGGGATGAATCAAATTGGGGTAATTGATTATCGGATTTTGTGTGTATTTGAAGGCGGAGAGGAATGACGCAGAAGACGAGCCTCCTGCTAAACGGAGATTGTCTTCCGCCGTTGTTAAGGTAATTTGTGTTCGGAAAGTAATTGCATTCTCATTGATAGATCGTCGGAAGTGGTTTAGTTTCTTAACTTTAATGGGAAACTTTAGGTCGACGGTGAAGATGTTAGTAAGGATGGAGAATTGCCAGTTGATGGCAATGGAACCCAGGTTTTAGTTGGTGAAAACGGGACTTCTGATCAAAGTGACAAGAAGCTATCTGTTCATCATCGTGGAAGTTGGTCCCAGAGAGATGCAGAACAACGAGGGACCAAGAAGGTAAATAAATCCCACGCAGATACTCTTTTTATGAGAAAGAGGCGACTGTTTACTCAGTGGTCGTTGTTATTGTGCTCTTATCAGGGTTTCGAAGCTTTTGCATTACCGGAGCCTTCACCAAGGGTTTTACCTAAGAATGAGGATCCTAAACTGGTTAATAGGAACAGAAGAATGCTGGGGAATCTTCTAGGAACTTTGGAGGTATTTGTTGAGAATCACATGAACCTCTTGTCTCATGGATTAGCTTGATTCATGTTAGAATTGTCGTTATTTTTCCAAGTTATCTTAATCTCACTCGTCTACGTACTTTCCTCCTTTTGCAGAAGTTCAGAAAAGAAGATAAGCAGCGTTCTGGAACAGATGCATACGCCCGACGGACTGCAACTCTGCAAAGGGTAAGCACACACTTCATATTCACTTGGCTTCTTTCATGAACCAAAAAACAAGATATGAGATATTTTACGAAGCTGTTGCTGTTTAGTGAGGGAAACGCCATGTTTTCGTACTTGGATTGATAAACTTCATCTTCTAATCCAAGACAGCATCTTCGTTCAGTTTCTTTTTATTTGAGTAGCGTCGTAGTGAAGCCTAAATCTATCTAGATATGAGTTTTTAAATTGGAATTGGGTCTCTTTCTCTTTAATTTGAAGATAATAATAATACTGCTAAGATGTTAGATATAGGTATCATTATATGTCCAGTTAGAAGTGCGCTTATTCCTTAACTTCATCTTTAGTACTACAATGCACTAACAGTGTTTGTTCATTGTATCTCTCCTACTCTTATAGGCTGAGGAAAAAGCTCGTGAAGAAAGTGAACGACTGAGGCTGCAGGAGCGTGAAAATTTGACTGAAAAGAGGAGAAGAGATCTTGTAAGTGGCCAGCTCAAGTTTTTTTCTCTTTTGCATACAATGCCAAATGGCAGTCTTGTGTAGTAAAGATCTGATATACTCAATTTAACTGGTCAATCAGACTCTTCGAGCTCGTGTTGCTGCTAAAGCAGAACAAAAGAAGTTGGAATTGCTTTTCCTTCAGTGGAGTGAGCACCAAAAGAAACTTACCAATTTTATAAGGTAGTGTTGAGTTGCTGTTACTGCGCGTGCTTTAGTTCCATAGCGTACCTTTACTTACTCTGCATGATGAAATTGCTAATTGCTATGTATTTGATTTTGCAGGTTATTTTTTATTTCGGTCCAAAAAGTGTGCATATTGACAATTATATAGAGGCAAAGATAAGTTTCCATTCACGTGCATACAAAGGCAATGTTTGGTGCTTTATGGCCTGACATAGGTAGAAATTGCTAGCTGATACAAAGTTTCTGTCAAAACTTATTTTATTTGATTTGCATGTGGACGGGTGTTTCAGGACTAAAGCAGAGCCACATATATACTATGCACTAGTGAAGCCTTTGGAAGAAGATACAAGTGAGGTGGAGAAACAGAAAGAGCAGGTAAGGTTTTGTAGTTTGTAAATGAATGTTTTGACATGCATGCTATGGGTATTGATATGTGACTGGTGAGGTGTTGACGCAGACATTCTTAGAATGGAAGGCGGCAAGGAGACAAGAAGTGAGTGAGTATCAAAAGGAGATAGAAGAGCAATGTCTGGGAAATGTTGAGAAAGAGCTGGAGAGGTGGCAAAACGCACGGAAGGCGAGGAAATCAAACAACGAGGGTATGAATTTGCAGGAAACAATGGACAAGGAATTAGAGACACATAGGATGGAGCACGGGCCAAAGAAGAGAAAGATACCTGGAGGAAATGAAGAGGAAGAAGATGAAGTAGAGGATATCAATGGTGGAGAGGATGAAATGATAATGGATGATTTGCTGGAGGAGGGAGGAGATGGAAACATCAAGGAGGAAGTGGCAACTGATACAGTAAAAGCAGAAGCAGTGAAGGAAGACATTAAACCTGAGGTTGTCTAAGTCATATAGTATGTTTGTTCTTGAAATGTGGTGGATTTACTTTGCGAGTTATAAAACTGGTCAAATCTATTTTGGAGCGGTGTAAGTTGGAATTTTATGGTAATTTGTAGGAAAGATTTGCCTTTCTGCTATAATTTGTTTTGTTTATCTACTAGTAGGCTCGCATCGGTTACTTCCGCTTGCTAGACCGTCTACACTGGCATAATCACTGAAAGATTGTATTGGTACAAGTCGGTTTAATTCGGTTCAAAACTCTTTGAATCAATCTGCATTAAGAAATTCCGGAGATTACATTTCACATTTCAATCAAAAAGGAAGGACTCTTTTTGACCAAAAAAGAAAGAAGAAAAGACTCTTTTGACTTTACAAGGACACGTGTTAGGTGTTTTACAGAGATCACGACACGTGTACATCAAAAGCCGTTATTCCTCCCATCTAACGGACCTCCTTCATCGCCTACGATGAAATCTTCTCCCCACGACGGCGATGGTGAAACTTCCTCAACAGTCGGCGACTCCGCTGGTGAAAGATCCATAAAGGCGAAGTAAGGCTCTGGTGCCGGTGAAAATCTTGAACCTAAAAACCACGGTGACTCTGCCAGTGCCGCCGAATCCTCCACGAGACGATTGGGAGACGAAGGGGCGGTGAGGGGAAGAAGATCGGCGAGACCGTGTACGGCAATATGTTGACCATCGAACAAACCAGGGAGGAGAAGTTGAACACCGTCGAGAAAAATGGAGTCGTTGGAGGAAGAAAGCTTAGTGAGAAGGAGGCGATGAGATGGGAGAAGCGTCGGGATAGAGGAGGCGTTGGGGAGCGATCGGAGATCGGAGAGTGAGAGGCGGAGCGGTACGGAGTGGAGGCGGAGAGTCGAAACGTAGAAGGGAAGAGAATGAGTCATGTCGAGAGCGAAGAGCATGGAATCGGTGGGGGCGAAGAGAGTGAGAGACTCGTCGGAGAGTAGATCGAAGAGGAGATCGGAGGTGATGATGGCGTTGGCGAAGAGAGCACGGCCTCTGACGCGGAGGACGGCGATGGCTCTTTCTAACTCTTCCAAAGGAACGCCAGTCGAAGGATGAGGAAGACAGAGGATGATAAGAGCTCCGAGAAAGATGGCTCTGAAACAAGAAGCACTCGAGATGTTCGCCATTTTTGTGATTTTTGAGGTCGATGAGAGTAAAATGGAAGAAGAAGAAGAAAGAAAAAAGCGGTTATGATTTGGTTTTATAGGGGATGCGAATCTTGGGAGGTTCTGGATTCTGTTACAGTCCAAGAATTATCATTGGGTTTAAGTTTTTTTTTTTCCGCGCTTCCTAAAATGCTAGATTTTAAATTTGAGCTTAATATATGTCTAGTGTTATCTGCTTATAAACTGAAATAACACAAAGGCCTATGAGGATGATATCAGAAGCTTCATGGGTTCCTCTATTCGAAAGTAAATCGCAGTGTTAAAGTTGAATGAATTGTTCATCTACGTTATGCTTTACTTGACACTAGGGGTGCCTTTAAAACCTTGTTACCAAGATTCAGGAGCTTTTACATGTTCGGAGACTTCGAGTATTTCAGTTACTCTTGCAAGAAGTAGGACTAGTGACAGGTGATGAGATGCTCTCAATTTGGAGATATGAGGTGGTTGCAGTTGCTGTACTCAATCTATCACTACCACTTGTTGGTCTCTACTTGGATGGGTGGTGAATTTGATAATTATTCTTTCTTGTAGGGAACACATAAAAGGCTCCTTTTGCATCTTTTTTCCGTGGAAAGGTATATCTGAATGTTCTTGAGATGTTCAAAATTAAAGATTGATGAAGGATGCTTATTACTACTGATGAAAATTATGCAGTATTATTACAACAAGACCTTTCACTAGCCACAAAGTAACATTCACCAATTTGTCTGCTACAAAAATGGTAAAACCGGAGGAACATATAGTCTCTATAATCTTTAGCTGTTCTGCAGCGCCTTACGTTCCATAGGCCAAAGCCATTCGCTTCCTCGCTTCATCGGCCTAGACTTCAAATATGCATCCAATTGAACATCACTATGTTTGTTTCACAACAGAAACAAGTCATGAAGAAGAAGGAAAGAAAGAAAAGGACCTGGTTTTTCCAGTTTGTGCAGCCTGTGACAAGAGCCAGCAGAAGAGTTTGCAGAAGGGCACCGGCTTGGATTCCGATCCAAAGGCCAACCCCTTTCAGATGAATCCAGAAGGCTAAAGATGCAGCAATGGGTATCCTCCAGAGATAGAAAGCTCCTAAGTTTATGTAAGCCCCTATCTGTTGCCATCCGCATCCCCTTGCAATACCTGCAAACCATCAAACGACTGTTAAGAGTGGCAAAAAGAGTAAAACTTTGGGATATCTTTGTAACTTTGACACAGGACTAAAACACACAACAGGAATAGACATGAAGACTTGAACCTGTGTTGCCCTACCTGGAGGAAAAGAGGGTAAATAGTATCGATAGTAGCTCGTGTTTGAGTAAAAAAATGGGAACAAGTCTCGAACCTGAGAGAACCCCTTGTAAACCGTCCAGTATGAGAGAAATAGAGACCAATGGAGCCATCTTTGCAACATAGTCGATGGTATCCTTGTCACTGCTGAAAACATGGCCGAAAAGATTCCTGCCAACTAATAGAGAAGTACTCAATATCAATGTCTCCATTACCGCAAGACACATTGCTGCATAGACCACAATATGTGCTGCTCGAGAGTTTCCAGCTCCTAATTCATTTGAGATTCTTGTGCTGCACAAGAAAACATGCATTTGCTTATGAACATGAAATAATATGATTTCCTCTGTATGCTTCAGCTCTTATGTACTGCATATAGTTGGTGACTGAAGCTCTAACCTTGCTGCTGCTGCAATCGCAAGATGTATCGAATAGACTGTCGCAGTTGTTTGGAGACTGCTCATAGTATGAATAACATTATGTCTTGGCTAATTCAAGATTGTGACAAGAAATGGAAAGATGCAAAGATGAGTACCTACCAGACAGAGAGCACAGAAGTCTCCAGTTGTGGGTTGGGTAAGAGACCAGAGAGTAATATTATGAGTTCGTATGACCACCACTCCAGGCTGCAACCCAAGAAAGAGTTTTTAACCAAAATGTGGAGGCATTGATAAGTGAAAAGACACAGAGTGAAGTACCAAATCATAGCCGCAGAAGGCAGAGCATATTTGAAGAACTCTCCAATGCCATGGAATATCTCCATGGAGAGTGGTGCTCGTGTCTCAGAACAGGCAGAGGAGTAACACATGAAAGATCCAAGGATAATGGTATAGAGACAGTTTGACAAACTGAGAGCTAAGGCTCCTCCAAGATTACCAAGCCCTGACTTGTAAACCAAAAGCCAGCAGAAAGGAACGTGGAGACAGAACACAATACAAGAGGTGATGAGGAGAGGTGTAATCATGCTCTGGTTTTGGAAGTAGCGAGTGAGCGGCTGTAGAACAGCGTAAGCAAACAGTCCTGGGATGAAGCAGGCAGCATATCTGCCGGCTTCGTGAGAAATAGAAGGGTCTTGGCCAAGGAATACAAGAAGCGTTTCCATGTTTAACCATATGAGAGTGAGAGGGAGACACACTAATGCAAGACAGAACATGGCAGTGTAAGCCTGAACTCCTACTTTCCGATAGAGCTTAGCTCCATAAGCTTGACCGATCAAAGTATCTAAGGCACATGACAATCCTACCTAGCATCAAAAATTAAGAAACAAGTGACGAGGGGATGCAACTTGTTAACTAGTAACAGATAGAGATAAAGAGGGGAGAAGGAAGAGAAAACAGACAATGAAGCTGAAGCCAGTGACGTTGCAGAAAGAGGAAGCGAGAGAGGCACTAGCGAGGGAGAGATTACCAAGGTGACCAACCATAACCATTGAGATGATCTGCAACATGAACTGAGCGGTAACAACAGCCGCCATAGGAGCGGCGAAGCAGAGAAGCCTCTTGAGTTCAACGGTGAATGATCCGTCTGGCAGATCTCTCCATGTCACGTTCTCAACTCTTTCCACCGGCAGCAGCAAGCTAGTTTTGGAGGTGCTCTCTGCGTCTCCCATGGCGAACAGCTACTACACAGCCTAGCCGGAGGGAGATATAGAGAGTGTTTGTGTGTCATATGTTAATAGTGAAATGTGTTTATGTTTATCAAATCAATTAGTAAAATGTGGGGCCTTGTTTTGTAGTAACACATTGGTTATGCTTTAAATTTGAACTGTGTTCATAATTTCTCTACAGCTCAAAGTGGTTGGGAAGAAGATAAATGATATCTTGAGTGTCCACGTGACAAAATAGTCCACGTGTCACCCTATTGCTATCCCGATTCACTCCGTTCGACTCCACCATCTCCGATTGAACCTACCGATGCGGTTTGATCTGTAATTAGGTGAGGGCTTTGTCCACTACCTCGTTGGTTTGCTAAATTAGTCTCTTTTTTTCCAAAGTGTGATCGCTCCTTTCTTAGCTATATGAGCCTTTATGATTTTCATCACTGTTAGGTAGCTCCTCTGGATTCCAAAATCAAACAGATTAGTAGCACCAATGTTCTTGTTCGTTGATGTAATCTATGAAAATTGAGGATCTTGTTCTCTATGCTTTGCTACAGCCTATAGTTGTGTGTTATGGCCATTGATAAAATGCAGTTATGTGCAAGAGTTTTGCTGTGCACTGAAATAGACATCACCTGAGACCCAATTGAGCTAGAAAAAATGTCCTGATTTAGCAACTGTTCAGGGTTTTCTGATTACTACTTTCCTTCATCTTTATTTGCTTCTTGAATTTAGAGTTTGGATTGGTAAATTGGTCTGTGCTAGTTCCTAGTTGCAATTTCTAATTTTGATATGTGATTTCTTCAGATTTTGGTTGACATTGTTGGTGAAGCACACCAAATTCTTGCTTGATCCATCAGAGAATGAAGTTGGTGATCGGATAATTGCATTATTGCAACAGGGGACGATATTTGACAACTTGCAGCGACAGCACCAAACTTAAAATATTCTCCAGGCAGCTACTAGACTTGGTATAGCTTCTTCTAGATCAGCTCTGGCAAAGAGAAGTGCTTCAAGAACTCATTGACAGGGCAGTGAAAGAGAAGAAAATCGGAAGGAGTCAATTTGTGGCTTACCTCTTGCATATCATGAGAAAATACTCCAGTCTATTCTGCAGTGAAATTTTGGACACCATGTTCCCTCACTGGTCTATAAGCCCATGGAGAGTAGGGATTCAGGAGAGATGCCCATTCCACCAGAAGTACTGAGGTGTCATTATTGCCTCTGGACAGACTTAATGAACGGGTTTGTATTGGGATTGGTTCAGTGATGAACAACTCTTTGCCCCAAGACTCAGCAGCAACTCTGTGTTATGTTCTAATTGACACTCAGGGTGCCTTTAAAGCCTTGCTCCAAGATTCATGATTCAATTTGGTTTGTTAGCTTGAACAGGTTTCGGGTAAATCAGTTACTCTTGAGAGAACTGGGACTAGTGACAGGACATGAGATGCTGACAATTTGGAGAAATGTGGTGGTTGTAGCTGCTCCATCATACCGTTGCCTCTTGGTCTCTGCTTGGATGGTCAACCTCACATTTCAGTGAATCTAATCATTATTCTTTGTTATTGAGAACACAGAAAAGGCTCTTTTTGGATAACCATGCCCTGTTATTAGCGGCTACCACTAGTCCAAAAGTAACATACAGTACAACAATTTGACTGCTAACAACAGAGTAAAATCGGAGGAACATATGGTCCCTCTAATTCTCAGATGCAAAGTTCTGACTCAGTAAGTGCTGTTCTGCAACGCTTTACGTTCCATAGGCCAAATCCATTCGCTTCCTCGCTTCATTGGCCTAGAGTTCAAATATGCATCCAATTCAATATCTTTATGTTTATTTCACAATGGAAACAAGTCATGAAGAAGGAAAAAAAGAAAAAGGACCTGGTTTTCCCAGTTTGTGCAGCCCGTGACAAGAGCAAGCAGAAGCGTTTGCAGAACGGCACCGGCTTGGATTCCGATCCAAAGGCCAACACCTTTCAGATGAATCCAAAAGGCTAAAGATGCAGCAATGGGTATCCCCCAGAGATAGAAAGCTCCTAAGTTTATGTAAGCTCCTATATGTTGCCATCCGCATCCCCTTGCAATACCTGCAAACCATCAAACGAAGATTAGGAGTGGCAGAAAAAAGTAAAACTTTGGGATAGCTTTGACACAGGACTAAAACTCACAACAGGAATAGTGACCTGTGGAGGAAAAGAGAGTAAACAGTATCTTGTGTTTGAGTAAAGAAATAAGAACAAGTCTCGGACCTGAGAGAACGCCTTGTAAAGCATCTAGCATGAGAGAAATAGAGACCAATGGAGCCATCTTTGCAACATAGTTGATAGTTTCCTTGTCACTGCTGAAAATGTGCCCGAAAAGATTCCTGCCGACTAATAGAGACATACTCACTATCAAAGCATCAATAACTGCAAGAGACATTGCCGCATAAACCACGATATGTGCTGCTCGAGAGTTTCCAGCACCTAACTCATTTGAGATTCTTGTGCTGCACAAGAAACATCCGCTTATGAACATGAAACCATATGATTCCTTGCCATGAACAGCAAATATGCTTCAACATTATTTATGTACTGCATAGTGGTGACAAAAGCTCTAACCTTGCTGCAGCTGCGATCGCTAGTGGTATCGAATACATTGTCGAAATTGTTTGGAGACTGCCCACAGTTTGAATAACATTATGTTCTGGCAAATCCAAGATTGTGAAAAGAAATTGGAAAATGTAAGGAGGAGTACCAGACAGAGAGCACAGAAGTCTCCAGTTGTGGGTTGGGTAAGAGACCAGAGAGTAATATTATGAGTTCGTATGACCACCACTCTAGGCTGCAACCCATAAAAAGAGTTTTTATCAAAAAATGTGGAGGCAATGAGAAGTGAAAAGGAACAGAGAAAAGTGAAGTACCAAATCATAGCCGCAGAAGGAAGAGCATATTTGAAGAACTCTCCAATGCCGTCGAATATCTCCATGGAGAGCGGGGCGCGTGTCTCAGAACAGGCAGAGGAGAAGTACATGAAAGATCCAAGGAAAATGGCATAGAGCCAGTTTGATAAACTGATAGCCAAGGCTCCTCCAAGATTACCAAGCCCTGAATTGTAAACTAAAAGCCAGCAGACAGGAACGTGGATACAGAACACAACACAAGAGGTGATGAGTAGAGGTGCGATCAAGCTCTGGTTTTGAAAGTAGCGAGTGAGAGGCTGTAGAACAGCGTAAGCAAACAGTCCTGGGATAAGCCAGGTAGCATATCTTCCGGCTTCGTGTGCAATAGAAGGGTCTTGGCCAAGGATCAAAAGAAGCTTTTCCATGTTGAACCAAATGAGAGAAAGAGGGAGACACACTAATGCAAGACAGAACATGGCAGTGTAAGTCTGAACTCCTAGTTTCCGATAGAGCTTAGCTCCATAAGCTTGACCGCTCAAAGTATCTAAGGCACATGACAACCCTATCTAACACACCAGAGGCAAAAAGTAACAATCAAGTGATGAGGAAATGCTCAAATTCAATGGTTATAATAAATGTGGCAATTTAGAGGGAAAAAGGAAGAGAAAACAGACAATGAAGCTGAAGCCAGTGACGTTGCAGAAAGAGGAGGCGAGGGAGGCGCTAGCGAGAGAGAGATTGCCGAGGTGACCAACCATCATCATTGAAACGATCTGTAACATGAACTGAGCGATAACAACAGCAGCCATAGGAGCGGCGAAGCAGATAAGCCTCTTGAGTTCTACGGTGAATGAACCATCTCGCAGATCTCTCCATGTCACGTTCTCGACTCTCTCTACCGGCAGCAGCAAGCTATCCTTAGTGGTGGTGCTCTCTGCGTCTCCCATGGCTAAATGCAGAGAGATAGAGAGAGAGAGAGAGAGAGAATGTAAAACTGTAAATTTGGGTAATTTGTGAGGAAAGGGTCAAACAAAGGCGGTGAGTGATATTTGTGATTTGCCTGCATGTCCTCGTTCGACGAAATTTTCCAAACCCAAATAATATGTATCTTTGGCTTAGATTCAATGAAATATTTAATTAATATGCATCTCGGTTTTTGCTGCTACAAATCTGTATTTGACCTTTTTATGATCCACACTTTTTTTTTTTTTTTTGGGTAATAATATGTATTAGTAATTCCATTGAAAACATGGATGCGAAGCTGGTAAAGTTTCTTGGAATTTTCCTCAAAAAATATTGAGAAATGCTGGTCCATTCACGAAAGTTTGTTTTGGTTTCTTCTCTTTTAGAGTACACAAGTGGTCGGAAAGAAGATAAAATAATGATATCCTGATCGTCCACGTGTCAAAACATATGAACAGAATCAAATTAAGTGCATAGCTAAAATAAAAAAAAAAAAAGTCAACGTGACACTGAGGGATTGAATTTGGCTTGACACTGTTGGATTTTGCAGTTTCCAGTAATGCTGTCAATTTGGAGATATGCGTTGCAGCGGGCCAGCAGCTGTATTAACTTCTTCGTCTCTACTTAGGTTCTCAAGCTCACAGACAGCTGAATTTGATCGGTGAACACGGAAAAGGCTCCGTTGGCATCATTTTCTGTCCAAGGTATTATCGGTGACCGCTAGTCCAAAAGTAACATAGAAAGATGTGGCTGCTACTAAAATGGTAAAACAACCGGAGGAACCTATGGTCCATGTAATCTTTATATGCAAAATTCTGACTCGAGGATAATTTGTTCGCTGCTAGCGATACCAAGGTGCTCATAAATGATATGTTTCATTCAGCACTCTTTCACTAATATTCCTGTCAGTAGTTGTTGGAATCAAATGAAACACATAGGGGCTCTGCTTAGTATGTTATCACGTTATTTATGTTTGGTTTGGATTGCTTTGTTTTTGATGTCAAGGAACTTTTTACCTTTGATCCATCGCCCTGTTAATTTTAAGAAATTCTTGTGTTGAGGGAGTACTTGGTAATCTTGGGGATGGTTAGTTCTTGAGTTGAAAATATTAGTGGCTTTTATGTAGTCTTTTTTTTTCTTCCTTTTTTGGGATTCCTGTTCTTGTTCTTTGATGTAATTCATGTAATTTGTTGGTCTTGTTTCTCTATGCTTTGCTAAAGTTATCTTCCCGTCGTTGGAAATTGCAAGACCTCAGAGTAAAACCGGATTCAAGCCTTGTGTTCGTTACATATTTCACTTGTGAAAGCAAAGAACATTCTTCAACACTGTTTTGAGTGTAGCGAACTTTACTTGGTGAATTTCTCTTTATCTTACTTTCTTTGAATATGTATTCTCTATTGTATTGTGGTCTCTTGAATTCCTCCGTTTTCTTTTTATCCTTGTAAACAGGCCATCATTGGGGATGCTGTACTGAGAATGCAAAATCTGCACTTATCAATAGTCTTAGACGCGTGGAGGACATTGTTAAGGTTCTATTGAACATCGTGTTCATGCGTTTGGGCGTCAACTATGGAAGTTTGGTTTTATCAACTATAAGCCCAAGAACAGTAGGAAATCAGGACAGATGGGGATTCCACCAGAAGAACTGAGGTGTCCCATATCTTTGCAGATTATGTGTGATCCTGTCATTACTGCTTCTGGACACACTTATAAACGGGTCTATATCGAGAAACGGGTCTAGCCCCAAGACTCAGAAGCAGCTCCCACATCTTTCCCTGACTCGCAACTACTGTGTTACTGGTCTGATTGCTAGCTGGTATCAGCAGAATGAGATCACTTATTTTCTGTCCAAAGTATTTCTGACCAACCAGAATAAAGCTTCATCGAAACAACGATTGCTGAGGGGTGTATCATGGTATTATTACAAAATAGACCGATTATTCACGGCTACCACTAGTCAAGCAGTAACATACAACGATTTGGCTGCTACCAAAATGGTAAAACCTGAGGAACATCTGTGCCCCCGTAATCTTATAAGGGAAGTTCTGACTCTGTAAGTTCTGATTCATGGGCCACAGCCATTCGCTTCCTCGCTTCACGGGCCTAGAGTTCAAATATGCATCCAATTGAGCATCGATATGTTTATTCCATAATAGAAACATATCATAAAAGACTAAAAGCAAAGGAAAGGACCTGGTTTTTCCAGTTTGTACAGCCTGTGAAAAGAGCCAGTAGAAGAGTTTGCAGAACGGCACCAGCTAGTATTCCAATCCAAAGGCCAACACCTTTCAGATGAACCCAGAAGGCTAAAGATGCAGCAATGGGTATCCCCCAGAGATAGAAAGCTCCAAAGTTTATGTAAGCCCCTATATGCTGCCACCCGCATCCGCTTGCAACACCTGCAAACCAACAAACGAGGGTTAGGAGTGGCAGAAAAGAGTACAACTTTAATTATCTTTGACACAGCACTAAAAAGTGCACTTTGACCTGTATTGTATTATGTGGAGGAAAAGAGAGAACATAGTATTTCGACACTAGCATATGTTTGAGAAAAGAAATAGGAACAAGTCTCGAACCTGAGAAAACCCCTTGTAAACTGTCCAGTATGAGAGAAATAGAGACCAATGGAGCCATCTTTGCAACATAGTCGATGGTTTTTTTGTCACTACTGAAAACATGGCCGAAAAGATTCCTGCCGACTAATAGAGATGTACTCACCATCAATGCATCCATTACTGCAAGAGACATTGCCGCGTAGACCACAATATGTGCTGCTCGAGAGTTTCCAGCACCTAATTCATTTGAGATTCTTGTGCTGCACAAGAAATATCCCCTTATGAACATGAAACCAGAACAAAAAGTATACTTCAGCATTTATGTACTGCATAGTGGTGACAAAAGCTCTAACCTTGCTGCAGCCGCGATCGCTAGTGGTATTGAATAAGCTATCGAAAGTGTTTGGAGACTGTGCATAGTACGAATGACATTATGTTTTGGCAAATTCAAGATTGTGACAAGAAATGGAAAGATGCAAGGAGGAGTACCAGACAGAGAGCACAGAAGTCTCCAGCTGTGGGTTGGGTAAGAGCCCAGAGAGTAATATTACGAGTTCATATGACCACCACTCTAGACTGCAACCCATAAAACAGTTTCCAACTAAAAAATTTAGAGGCAATGAGAAGTGGAAAAGGAACAGAGAAAGGTGATGTACCAAAGCATAGCCGCAGAAGGAAGAGCATATTTGAAGAACTCTCCAATGCCGTCGAATATCTCCATGGAGAGCGGGGCGCGTGTCTCAGAACAGGCAGAGGAGTAGTACATGAAAGATCCAAGAAAACTGGCAGAAACCCAGTACGATAAACTGAGAGCCAAGGCTCCTCCAAGATGACCATGCCCTGACTTATAAACCAAAATCCAGCAAAGAGGAACATGGAGACAGAACACAACACAAGAGGTGATGAAGAGAGGTGTGATCAAGCTCTGGTTTTTGAAGTAGCGAATGAGCGGCTGTAGAACGGCGTAAGCAAACAGTCCAGGGATGAGCCAAGCAGCAAATCTTCCGGCTTCGTGTGCAATTGAAGGGTCTTGGCCAAGGATCACGAGAAGCTTTCCCATGTTGAACCATAGGAGAGAGATAGGGAGACAAACTAATGTAAGACAGAACATAGCCGTGTAAGTTTGAACACCTAGTTTCCGATATAGCTTAGCTCCATAGGCTTGACCGCTGAGAGTATCTAAGGCAGATGACAATCCCATCTAGCATCAAAAAGTAAGAATAAAGTGATGAGAGGATACAATTTCCATGGTCTGGTAGCTAGTAACAGATATAAGTGCGTCAATTTTAGTGGAAAGAAGGAAAAGGAAACAAACAATGAAGCTGAAGCCAGTGACGTTAGAGAAGGAGATGGCGAAGGAAGCGCTAGCGAGGGAAAGATTACCGAGGTGTCCCACCATCACCATTGTTATGATCTGTAGCATGGACTGAGTGATAACCACGGCAACCATAGGAGCCGCAAAGCAGAGAAGCCTCTTGAGTTCTGCGGTGAAAGATCCATCTTGCAGATCTCTCCATGTCACTTTATCAACTCTGTCTACCGGATCTGTGGTGGAGCTCTGTGCGTTTTGCATGGCTAGAGAGAGAGAGAGAGAGTTGAGATTTGAAACTGAAAGTGGTGTCAGTCTGAAGTACTACTGTCTGCTTTTTGGTGCTTGGTTACGTGTTATATTCTTTAGATGTCACTTGGCAAAATCATTAGATATCTTGGCCAAAGGTAGGGAGTGATTACTGATGTTGGCTCTCTGCGTTTTCTTTTTTTAATATGCATATTGCAAACTATTTTCGATGATATTTTTCTTCTACATTGATGCCAATTATTGTTTATCATCATCGTAAGAAAGTTTGAATACATATAGCAATGTTGTTGGTTATATATTTTTAGTAATATTAAATATATCAATAGACAATATGTATGCGACTTTGTATTCTTAATCACTGTAATTCCAATATTCCATTGATTTGGACAAAATATATTTCGTAATAATTACATGATTTGGTGTTTTTCTTTGAAAGAGGAGTTAGCAAAATAAAATGAAAGGGAATGCAACAAGAAGTGGTCGGAAAGTAGATAAAATCATATCTTGGTTGTCCACGTGTCAAAGCCATAGTAACGGGAGCAAATTAGGTGCATACCAAAAAAAAAAAAAACACATCGTGCCACCGAACCAATCGGGCCGCCCTTTTCTACCGCCGGCTAAATTTGACGGTCACATATAGAGTTCCAAAACTCTCAACCATGTCCACTCTTCCTTTCGCGCCTTCTGTCACCCATGCGCACTTTAGCCACTCCCTCTCCCCCATGTTTATCCTGCGCCGGCTCCCTCTCACCCGCCATCTCCGCTTATCCCGGAATAACCGCGTCGCTTCCGTCGTATCCGCCGCCGCCGTTCGCCAGGACGCCTCCCTCTGGACCCCAGCTCCTCTCTCTCTAATCGAATCGGCCGCAGAATCGCTTTTCCACATCTCAATCGACATTTCAAACGCTCCGGATCTCGTAGCCTCTTACACGAGACCCGGTCAGTATCTTCAGCTCCGTGTTCCTGATGTTGAGAAGCCTTCTTTTATGGCAATCGCTTCTCCTCCTTCATTGGCGGCTTCTCGTGGTGCTTTCGAATTCTTGGTCAAGAGCATCGCTGGATCTACTGCGGAGATTCTCTGCGGGTTAAAGAAAGGGGAGACCGTTGAGCTTAGCCCTGTGATGGGTAATGGTTTCAATATCGATCTGATTGATCCTCCTGAGAAATATCCAACGGTTTTGATTTTCGCCACTGGATCTGGAATTAGGTGGGAGACTTTTTCCATTTCCTCTCCTACCTTCTATAGCTGATATTCAATGATCCAAGTGTGATCTAGTTTAAAGGTTTCAGTGCATAGCATTAGCTAGATACAAATTCAAGTGTCTTGAATCTGGTTTAGTTATTGATACTGAGGCCAATCCTCTATGATGCTTAGTTCATTTGCTTTTATCCTGCTAGCTTTGAAGTTTGAGATCCCCTGATGTTGATACACTAAATCTGTTTTTTGAATTCGACCTATCCAGAGGTGCCATGGACTTTTTGTGTGGCTTTTTTCTGCTGTTTGTGTTGATCTAATACTGAAATAAAGAGTTCCATGTAAGAAAGGTCAATGCTCTGTTGGTCTCTAATGGAGAATTTGGTTATGTGTGTTTCATCAGCTCATGGCTTTTTAGGTGTTTTTGTTTGTTGTTCTAGGTCTGGTCGAATCAACAATGTTTAGTGATGATGACAGAGATTAAGTAACTGTCTTAAATTAGGAATGTAATCGCTCATGTTCTTATCTCTGCAGCCCCATCCGCTCACTGATCGAGTCAGGATTTGGTGCTGATAGAAGATCTGACGTAAGACTTTATTACGGAGCTAGGAACCTGAAACGGATGGCTTACCAGGTTTGGTTCTTTCTCTCACTTGTTTTGCAATTCATGTTGTCCCAAGATACAAATGTGTGGTTGAATTGTGAGAATCTTTTGATGATAAGCACATAGCCTATCTCTCGCTCTGGATCTGATCAATAGAAGGATTACCTTAAAAAAACGCACTCGATTTTTGTAGGATAAGTTTAAAGAGTGGGAATCATCAGGTGTCAAAGTTGTGCCTGTATTATCACAGCCAGATGATGGTTGGAAAGGGGAAACTGGATATGTGCAGGTGAGATTGAGAAACACCAATCTAAATGCTTAAATCAAGTGGATCCATCAAACTAATGTATACATCATGTGTTGTGTAGGCTGCTTTTGCAAGGGCTAAACAACTTGCTGCTCCCAAGGCCACGGGAGCGGTGCTTTGCGGACAGAAACAAATGGCTGAGGTATGCACTGTTTTGTTTCTGAGAACGTACAAGCTTTACAAGATGTGTATCTTTATTATTGTTCGATTTGCATTGTTGCAGGAGATAACTTCAATTCTTGTAGCTGATGGAGTCTCAAATGACAAGCTGCTCAAAAACTTTTGACAGATATATTCTTGTATTATCGTATAATTTTACTGTTTCATCATATCATTATTCTTTTGATACGATAGTCCTCTTCAAGGCCTCTCTAATTCATAAACACAGATTTTTGTAATCCCTTCAAGATTAATACTACTGTGTTGATTGTCACAACAACTTTCATTTTGATTAGTGATCATATTAATGTTACTGCAATGTGCAATACCCCACACGACCACACCCAGCATATAAGACCATGCTCTATATTGCATATTCTCCTACTTTCATTAGAAACTTTCTACATATACACCAAGAAGACGTGTACCAAAAATATTGAGAAATTACAAATGTTTTCTAATTAGGAAAAGTTCCACAAGATAAATCACTGCTTAAAAAATATCTAATTAAGAAACTTCCAGTTTCCACCATCGTCGTCTCATTTAATTCA